TAAGAGGAGGGAGGATTGATCTCATAATAGTCTAGCAATAATGTTGTTTAAATTCGTAATTTTAAACTTTTTATATAGTAATTTTAACCTTTTATTATATTATACTAAAATAATAGACACACCATATTTCTATCATATGGGTGTAATCTTTAATTGATTATAAAGTTGTACTAAATTTTCGCAGGAAGAAGATTAATTTTTTATTTTTTTACAAACGATAGCGTAGTATTAAAATGTTAATTGTTAAGGGGCGAGAGAGTTGGTGTAGATCGAATATATACCATAATGCATATGTATCATTGTTTCCGTTACTGCTATTAAACTTGACAAAACCTAAAACTGCATTCTATCACCTTTAAAACTGCATTCTATCACCTCTCAGACCATGTTCAACCCTTAATTCAAAATTGGGGCTTTTAGATCTAGATCCAGAAACATAAATTGTTTATAGGACTGAGTTTAATTATATAATTACAAATTTTTTTTTCTTTTATGATCATTTTATATTTTCTAAAATATTAAAAATCAGTTAAAATCTTCTAAAATCATGCCTTTTCCAACAATATAAGATCTAATTAATATCTTATTAAAAAAAACTAATATACTAACATAAATTTATCTGCAAAACATTATACCCTAACTCAAGTAACAAATATACGAATGTATATTATACCTATAAGCGAGATATGAAATGTAACTAAAAGGTAAAAAAAACATAATATACATACAAGTAAGACACAATAATCTGTAATAGGTTGATTATAATAAACAATCTGTCATGTAAGTAAATAAATACCATGAACTTGTCATATAGGTTGATTATAAGAATTCAAAATAAAATCTATAATGGGGTTTAGAGTAGGAAGAAGAACAAGAAATAACAAAAAATATTAAAAAATAATAATTAAATAGATAATTACGAAGAAATTTGATTTTTATATTAAATTTATCATTGAAAAGCTAATTATTGGTAATAAAATAATTAAATTTAAGAAATTAGACATTTTAATAAACTGACCTATTCCTACATTGGTTCAAAAAATTGAACTTTATCCAACCAAGTCATTTGAAACCATTGGGCCAAAATAATCCATGGGGAAAAATAAATGTTTGCGCTAGATTTCATTCAAGAATTAAGCCTGGCTTCATTTTCTTGGGCCCGCCATGCATGTCGACACGCTGGGAAAAAAAAGCCCATCAAGTTTGAAGCGTTGCACGCGACAAAGCTGACAGTCGTTGGGACCCAGCGCTGCAGATTTGTCGGCCACTAATCATGAGTCTAACAACTCTTTCGACCATCCAACAGCTACAATCAACGGGTCGTTGATTGATCCAACCGTCTAGATTAAAAATAATATTTATTATTACATTAAATCAAAGGCTGTGATTGAATATGAGCATATACAATGGTAAAAAAAAATTTGACATCCTAATTTTATATTTAACGGTTAAAATAATTAAAAATATATATTTAACTCAAATTTCACACTAAAATTCTATAATTACATATGTATATGTTTAAACATCCACACAATTCTTTCGTTTTTTTATTTCTACCGACTTCCCAAAAGTATTTCATCCTATTTCTAAATTTTTCAAATTGCCAAAAGATCATGTTAGAGGACCTGATTGGTCAAGTGATGAAAATATTGCTTGTTATTTGGCATGAGTTTCTATTAGCGAAGATGATGTTATAAGTACAAACAAAAATGCGAAGGAGTTGTGGGCGCGTATTGTTAAAAAGTATAATTCCACCTCCAACACCAAACGGCCCTATAAAGGTCTTTGTGGTCGGTAGAAGATTATCAATAAAGCATACACCTTTCTAGAATTTAAATATTTTTAGGTTAAAATATTCATAAAAATAAATTAGAATAATCGACAAAATATTATTTTTAAAAAAGTTAACCAAAAAAAAATTAGGCTAGAATTATTCTTTAATTATGTGTGGCTTAAATTTTAAGGCATAATCAACGAAGGAAAACAATTGTTTCTAGATTATGGCTTAAAATTTTGTGGCTTAATTTTTTAAGCTCTAACCAAAAGGGTTGTGCATGGTCTTAAGGCTCGTTCCGTCTAATTAATATTAGTGTCGCACACCCAACTCCCAATTCTATCATCTAATTCGGCTTCTTTGTGTTGTGTGGAGCTTTGGCCAGCCTTATTTTCACAAGCATATATCACACCTACAAAGTAGAAATTTGGGAAAGGCTTTCAACTGAATCAAATCTTTATTTACGCAAAATAGCTCAGTTCTTACGGGATTTCATTAAGCTGATTTTTTTTTTCATGCAAAACTTGAACAAACAGTTTTGCAAAACAGATTTGGAATTTCTTTGGCATCTTAACTTCATTCTCTAAACGCTCAAATTCCACCAAAAATTGTTTGTTGCAGTGGGGACCCGTATTTCTTGGAGCCTTTTTGGACGAAACATGCATCAAAAAGTGCAGTTTTAGTAGCAGGATGGCATCGAATGAGCTATGTCTTCCCTGATCAATCTCGCATCTCAGCAGAGCTTGAGAGGCACATCCGCGAAATTCATACCATTGTCGGAAATGCGGTCACTGAAGGGAGATACATTGTTTTTGGTGCTGGCTCAACCCAACTTCTCAATGCTGCAGTTAACGCACTGTCGACTTCCAATAACTTCAACTCTTCACCTTCAAGTGTTGTAGCTTCAATTCCTTATTACAGTGTAAGATCCGACTTCTGAATTTACAGCGAGCAAAATTTATAATGAATAAAACTATTAAATAATGGGATTTCGATGTGAATTTTTACAGCTTTACCAAATGCAAACGGAGTTCTTCCGATCAATGGACTACATGTTTCAGGGAGATGCTGCCTTGCTGCAGAACACTTCGGATGCTACTAAAAATGTTGTTGAGTTTGTAACCTCACCAAACAATCCAGATGGGCAGCTGAAGAAGGCAATTTTTGAAGGCCCGAATGCTAAAGCAATCTATGATCGTGTATACTACTGGCCACATTTTACAGCAATTCCTGCTCCAGCAGATGACGATCTCATGATATTTACAATTTCTAAGCTCACTGGCCATGCCGGTACTAGATTCGGGTACGTAACCAACTAACCAACATTTTCTTCCATATTCTCCCCAACCCTTAGTTAAATATAACGTTGTAAAAAACAAAAACATATTCTTCCACATCCATTGAATTTTATAGTGAGATATTCTGCTTGAATTTTATCACCCTAAACCCTAAGTAAAGTCCCTTTAGGTAATCATATTAATGTTTTGCCTTGTGCAGGTGGGCATTGGTAAAGGATGAGTCTGTGTACCAAAGGATGACCCAGCATATACTCATGAGTAGCTTAGGTATTTCTCGAGATGCTCAGCTAAGAGCTTTGAAGCTTCTAAATGTCGTCCTTGAAACCGGAGGCAGGGAAATCTTTGAGTTCGGATACCACACTTTGAAGAAACGCTGGGAAAATTTGACAAACATCCTGTCTCTGTCAAACCGCTTTACTCTTCAAAAGTTTGAACCCAAATACTGCAACTTTTTCAAGAATATTAGAGACCCTTCACCAGGTAATGTACTATAACTCATCCTGTGCTTTTCGAAACATGCTAGAGTACGTGTGTGTAGGTTACTTAATTTAAGAATTCTTGTATAAACATAGGACATTGCACCTTTCAAAGTTAATGAGAGTTTAACGTTCATGATGACATATTCTCTTGTAAACACCGTACAGAAGTGCGCAAGTGTCTGCGTGTAATGATTTATCGATTTGGTGACAGAGAAAGTGAAAATTATGTTTTGACGATCAAATGAATTTGCAGCTTATGCATGGGTGAAGTGCGAGAGGGAAGAGGATAAAGATTGCTATGAAGTTCTGAAACAAGAAGCGAATGTTTATGGTCGTCCAGGTGCTGAATTTGGAGCTGAAGATCGATATGTTCGTCTCACCCTCTTAAGGAACCAAGATGATTTTGATTTATTGCTTCAGCGACTCAACCAATTAGTCTTGGATGAAGGGAAGAGCAAAATAATTATTTCTTCTCAAGTAGGGGGTCAATACGTGACTTAATCTGCTACAGAGAAACATTGCAGAATTATAGTAGAGCACTGCTCGTGCTCCCTTATGTACGTTTGTAGAAATATAGGAGAGCACTACTTGTGCTCCCTTATGTACGTCTATATATAGCGGTCACCATTTAGTCTCGGAAGAAAGACACGGCCAACAAACCATATGTAAACCATTTGATCGCAAAATAACCACCCCACAATCTTTATGAGCATTTGTTTTTCCTGCAATTCTCTTAAACACAATTCCTCAGTTCCGTCAACATTCTGGTGCCCTAAACATGCCATGAAATAAATTAAAGTATATAATCAGATCAATATACAACCTTTGTCGCTTTGAAGTTCTACAAACATATGGTGCATATTTACCACGTAACGCAAATGGTAAGCTCCATAATGTACATTTTCCTTGTGCCTATCGTCTGTGTTTTATTGTGTGCAAAATAAGGTAAATAAGAAAATCTCCTCCCACAAACCCGTTGGACTCACCAGCCCTAATCACAACCCTGTTGCTCTCTTTCCTTCCCCTAACAACTTGAGGAGCATAGTTCAATGCATTCCGGTCTACATACACAAGCATATGCTGAACAAGCCCGAAAGATGAAGCCGCAGTATTGAACGCTTGACGGCGGCTTCATACAGTGAGACTGACTTGGGTGGGGTTTTCAATTGAAAATGGCAAATATCTAATTAATTGCGTAAAAGGGTTTAAGGTTTCTGACCTGTTGGAATGAAGTGTACAGAAAAGTGGCAAAAGTCGAGAGGTATAAGCATTGCCAGACGTTTAGATGTATCTTTGATTTCTCAATGGACTCGAGTTGCCTTTGAAGATCCAGCCAGAGTTATAGCGGGTGACCACAATGGCACTTTCCTGGGTGGTGTTTCCCTGCACTCTCACCTATCTTCCCCCAATGCGGCGGAAGCACTGACAGTGCTAATGGGCCGGAAATTTGCTCAAGCAAAGAGCTTCAACTGGACAATAAAATACAAATTGAAAGGAAAGATGCAAAAAGTCCACAAAATTTCAAAATATACATACATGCACTACAATAGAAAATGGAAAATACGTCCAAACAATACAGTTTTCATCCATAGAAATCAGTTGCTCTGGACCTTGATGTTGCTTATGTGCTGTGCATAACCAAAGGTATTTCAGAGCTGCCTTTTAAATCTGTAAAATTGCCGCATTTTGTTTTGCAATATACACTTTTTTTTTTCCTTTTTAGCTGTTGCATTGTTCGTTATCATCCCCCATACTTTCTTCCTAAGGAATAAGGCTTAATTTTGACTCTCAAAGAGAGAAAATCTGTATAAATGGGAAAGTCGATCCTTACGCCACAACTGGTCTTTTCGGTCCTACTAAGGGCTGGTTTGGTATTGCTGTGCTTTGAAAAAAAATTGTTGTGAGAATAAGCGGATGTGTTGTGAGAATAAGCGGATATGAAATAAATCAGCAGAGTGTTTGGTAAACTTTTTTTGTAAAAGTGCTTTTGGAAAAATAAGCAGTCTGATAGTGGGTCTTTTCATTAAAGGAGCACTGTAGCTCCGTGTGCTTTGAAAAAAAAGCCAGTTTTCCAAAGCTGCAAATAGCAGCTTCAGTTTTTTCCTTTGATTTCAGCTTATTCTCAAAGTAGCTTCCAAAATAAGCCTTTTTTTTTTTTTCAGTTTACCAAACACCTAAAACCCTCACAGTTTTTTTTCATAGATGCTTTTTTTTTTTAAGCACCTTACTTCCAAACCACCCCTAACTGCTTTTGTTTCAATCGGCTGAATGTCCTCCTGTATAAAAACAAAAGGAACCTACAATAACAATCAAAAGCAGGTACACTTTGAAAGGGGTTCCCCAAATGATGCTCATACTTTCCCAGCTGCAATCACAGGCACTTTGAAGTTGAATTCCTCTGGGATTGACTTCAGGATCAAGAACAAAATCCCCATTTGTCGTGCCTGCTTCTTCCAACCAGATACATGTCGTCTTTGATTTATACCCAGGCACAGTAGCTGTGACTGCACGTAACCAAGTAAATCCAACAGAAAACTCAGGCATCAAAATTATAACTATACGGATAAATCCATAACATATTTGTTTCCAAAGGCCTTCGACAAGTTTATTGTCAAGGCCTCAAGATACAGATTGTATACTCATGTGTTGTCGAAAAGCAAATACAGTTATTAGGGCTGCAATTCCTTTTTATCCCTTCCCTTCTTTATCATAAACGAAGTTCAATTACCAATCCAGTAGCGGCAATTACACCAGGAATAAGAAGAACAGGAAAAGAGGACCTTCACGCCACATCTTCTCATTTCATGCCCTCAATAATGATGGGGCGCAAAAAATCCACTAACACTCTAGATCTAGGCCAAGTTTATTGGAAGGAGAAATATGTTCAACGCTGTTAGATTACAGAGAAGAGTAATTATTATAGGATTTAGGAGAGAAAAATGTAAATTTCAGAAAGAGAATTCACAGAGGAGATGATTCAATTTCATTTCATCATTGAGATCTTATCGGAATGTGACCGACTTCAACAACAAATGTAGGGCACTGTTACATCTCTCTCTCACACAAGAAAGAATACATCACAGCCATTCATTTCATCTATCCTATGAGATAGCTACATTTGTCACTCTATATTGCTAACTGTCATTCAATCTAGAGCATTCATTTTGGAATGTAATCCAATGACTCTAATTAAAACAAGTAAAATAAATTGCTTTATTTCAGCTAAAACACTTAAACACTAACACTCCCTTCTAAGCGTTTAGCTGAAATCACTCCCAAAGCCTTCCTCAAATACTCAAATCTATCCCTTGCCAATGCTTTTGTAAAGATATCAGCAACTTGTTCTTCAGTTTTGCAGTAAATCAGATCAACTTCACCATTTTGCAGAGCATCTCGGATGAAATGGAACCTTCTATTTATGTGTCTTGTTTTATGATGTGCCACGGGATTCTTAGAGATTGCAATGGCTGAAGTGTTATCACATAGAATCTGAGTTGGTTCCACTTGTTCCTCTACAAAATCTGATAAGACAAATATTAACCAGATGGCTTGAGCAGTTGCTTCTGCAGCACTAACATACTATGTCTCTGCAGTGGACAATGCTACACTGCTTTGTTTGATTGAGGCCCAAGAAAATGCTCCAGAACCAAAACTAAAAGCATATCCGGAAGTGCTCTTCATGTCATCTTTCACTTCCTGCCCAATCACTATCACAGTATCCAATAAGCACAACATCTTTACCCTTCTCATATGCAATTCCATAGTCCAGTGTACCTTGGATGTACCTTAGCACTCTCTTTGCAGTTCCCATATGTTTCCTGGTTGGATTATGCATGAATCGAGCAAGTAGACTTGTAGCAAACATGATATCAGGTCTTGTAGCTATTAAGTATAACAGACTATCTACAATCTGCCTATAGAGACTTTCATCAGCTAGTTCACTTCTATCTTCTTTGATTAATCTTTCATTTGTTGCAAGTGGAGTTGCAACAGATTTGCACTCCTTCAATCCAAATTTCTCCAACAAGGTTCTTGCATATTTCTTTTGATGCAGAAATATACTACCTTCTGTTTGTATGACACCAAGTCCCAAAAAATGATGTAATAGTCCCAAATCAGACATTTCATATTTTCCCATCATTTCTGCTTTAAACTCATTCATTAATGCACTGGAACTCCCTGTGTATATAATATCATCAACATACAAAGAAACAATGAGAATTCCTGCCTCAGTGACTTTGATGTAGAGAGTTGCTTCACTTGGACTTCTATGAAAACCAGTACTGCAGAAGTGAGAGTCAATTTCCTTGTACCAGGCTCGTGGTGCCTGTTTCAATCCATACAAGGCTTTCTTGAGCTTGTAAACTTTGTCCTCCTTGCCTTCAATCACAAAACCAAGTGGTTGATCTACATATACTTACTCATTTAGAACTCCATTCAGAAATGCTGACTTTACATCAAGTTGGAACAGCTTCCATCCTTTCTGTGCAGCAAGTCCAATTAAAGTCCTGATAGTATCAAGTCTTGCCACAGGAGAAAATGTCTCATTGAAATCGACCCCAGGCTTTTGAGAGTATCCCTTAGCCACTAACCTTGCCTTATTCTTCTGTATAGACCCATCTAGGTTCAATTTTGTTTTGTAGATCCATTTGACACCAACAATTGGTTTATCAAGTGGTCTATCAACAAGTTCCCAAGTATAGTTTTTCTCTATCATGCCAATTTCTGCCTGCATTGCCTTCTGCCATGACTCATCTTGTGATGCTTCCTCAAAGTTCTCAAGCTCAACTATGCACAGATTGCATTTTGCATACACTTTTGTCAAACTCTTGAACTTCAAAGGTGTGTGATCATAGTCTTGTGGACCTGTGATATTCTGCATTGGGACCAACCTTGAGCCATTTTCAATTGACTCACAGACTTCATATGCAGACTCATCATTTACATTGCACCTGTCACTTGAACTACTTTCTTCTCTTTGTTTTCTCATTTCCACTTCAGGTGGTGGTACACTGATAATCTTATCAGATTGAGATTCCCAATCCCAGCAAGTATTTTCATCAAATATCACATCTCTTGACACAATTATCTTCTTTGATACAAGGTCATAAAGTCTATAACCTTTCTCACATGTACCATATCCCAAAAAAATACATTTAGTGCTGGTCTCATCTAGCTTCTGCCTTAGTTGAGTTGGAATATGAGCATAACATATAGAACCAAAAATCTTCATGTGTTTGATTCCTGGCTTTCTTCCACTATAAGCCTCAAAAGGAGTCTTCTTATCTAGAGCCTTAGTGGGACATCTATTCAGAGTGTACACTGCTGTGTTAACAGCTTCTGCCCAGAAATCAAGTGGAACTCCCTTCTCAACCATCATACATTTTGCCATTTCCACTATGGTTCTATTCTTTCTCTCAGCCACACCATTTTGATGTGGTGTATAGGCTACTGTTAGTTGTCTTTCCATGCCCATTTCTTCACAAAATTTCCTGAATTCAGTAGATGTATACTCCCCTCCTCTATCACTTCTCAACTTTTTCAACTGATAACCACTTTGCAATTCAACTGTGGCCTTAAATTTCTTGAAGATATCAAATACCTCCGACTTGTTTCTCAAGAAATAGATCCAACACATTCGAGTGCAATCATCTATAAAGGTAAGAAAATACCTATTTCCTGCTATAGTTGTGGTTTGCATAGGTCCACAAATATCTGAGTGAATAAGTTCTAGAGGGAGAGTAGCTTTCCATGATGCTTCCTTTGGAAATGCATCTCTGCAATGCTTCCCAAAAACACAACCTTTACATATCTCATCTATCATCGTAAGCTCAGGTAATCCCAACACCATATCATGTTCTTTGAGTTGCTTCAGACTGTTTAAGTTCAAATGTCCCAGTCTCCTATGCCAGAGTGTAGAAGACTGACATACATTAGCTTTTAGAGCAATTTGCATCTCAGGTTTAAGTCTCAAAGGAAAACTTCTATTGCCCTTCATTGGTACTCTAGCTATCAAATTAGACATTGATCTATCATCATATATTTCTGCAGTTGTACCTCCAAACACAAGAAAGTAACCGTGTTCCATCATTTGCCCTACACTGAGCAAATTTTCTTTTAATCCTGGAATTAACATCACTTCCTTGATATATCTCCTTCCCAGTTTGGTATCAACTCCTAAACTTCCTTTCCCTGTGACTTCAATGAGCTGTCCAGTACCCATTTCTACTTTAGCAGTTATTTTTCTATCAATGTCAATCAGCAAATCCTCCCTTCCAGTCATATGGTTACTACAACCACTGTCCACATACCATATATCTTCACTTTTCTTCACAGTGACATTATTGCAGACATAGAACATGGTAGGAGTATCATTTACTTGATTAACAAAATTCACATGCTGGTTAGCCTTCTCATTCTTGACTCGGCAATCTCTTGCAATATGTCCCAACTTATGACAACTATGACACCTTGGTTTATCTTTGAACCAACATTCACCAAAATGCAGTTTATCACAATGTATACAAGGATTCTTAGCTCCATCAGAAGTACTTGCAATTTTTCCAGTTTGATTCACAGGTCTATTATCTCATTTCTTCCATTTAGACTTCCAACTTTTCTGTGGTTTGAATCCTTGATTTCCATTGTACTTATTCTGCTTTGGACCAATACTGAGACTAACAAATGCTTTCTCAGTGTGGGATTCATCATGCCTGTCAATTCTTTGCTTATAGCCCTTGAGAATAGCTACCACATCTTGAACATCAACAGTATCTAGATCCTTAGTATTCTCGATGACAGAAGCAATACTATCATACGATCTAGGTAAACTGATAAGCAGTTTTTGAACAATTCTCTGATTACTTATATCCTCACCATAGCTTCTCATTTGACTAATCAAATCAAATAATCTAACTAGATATGTGGAGAATGCTTCATTTTCACCCATTCTAGTATATTCAAAATCACGGCGTAAGCCTTGGAGTTTTACAGCCCGTACCTGTTTATCTCCCACAAACTCTTGTTTCAGCACATTCCAAGTAGCATTTGCAGTCTCTTGGATGGCGATTCTCGGAAAAATCTGATCAGAGACGACTCCCTGAATAATTCCAAGTGCCTTCGCATCTCTGACTATATTCTCCTTCAATAGCTTGCTTTCAGCTACAGTGAGTTCTTCATCCTTCTTCGCCGAAGTTTCAACACCCTTTTCGACGATATCCCAGAGCTCGTGCGATCGGAATATTGTCTTCATCCGAATCTGCCAGAAATCAAAATTATCACCATTGAATACCGGCGCACGAAGATCAGCTCCACTCGATCCAGCCATGTGAGACGAGATCTAAGATCACTACACTTTCTTCTCCGAGTTTTCCTCAATGAGAAAACTCAACGGTCAGTTCGAGCTCTTCACTGTGAGCTTCACAGATTCACGCCCAGTTGCAGAGGATGCAACCCGGCTTTGAGGCCATGTTAGATTACAGAGAAGAGTGATTATTATAGGATTTAGGAGAGAAAAATGTAAATTTCAGAAAGAGAATTCACAGAGGAGATGATTCAATTTCATTTCATCATTGAGATCTTATCGGAATGTGACCGACTTCAACAACAAATGTAGGGCACTGTTACATCTCTCTCTCACACAAGAAAGAATACATCACAGCCATTCATTTCATCTATCCTATGAGATAGCTACATTTGTCACTCTATATTGCTAACTGTCATTCAATCTAGAGCATTCATTTTGGAATGTAATCCAATGGCTCTAATTAAAACAAGTAAAATAAATTGCTTTATTTCAGCTACAACACTTAAACACTAACAAACGCCATGGTAGATTTTGTTTCACCAAGCAACTAACTATTACCATATGACATACATGAAAAAGTGTACAACTATGGAAATGTGGTCTATAATATGATACCAGTAGTTTTAATTCTTAAATTGCATAACATTTCCTCTTTTTCATTTTTAAAGCATCCAGCTCGGGATGAACAAGGGATGTAATCTGTAAATACCCTTATATCTTCCGGCGGGGGCAAGCAAGCTATGGTAATCCACAATTGCTCTGCTAGCTTGAACCTGCCAGTCAAAAAGATGAGCCATTGGTTTACATGTAGTCCTCTTCAGCTTATCAAATAATGTAAAACAGCTAATTGACCAAAAAGGTATAACAAATTATGATATAAACGGAAAGGTGTAGAAAGAATAAGTGCCACTCCAATGTTATCCAGTTTTCTTTTGTTTTGAAATGTACTTATCAAACAGACCGTTTTGTCATTTATTTCTATCATCATACGGCTGGAAAATATGCCAACAATACTTTAGGCTACTCAACAGGGTTTTGACCAACTATTCAATTTGATTCTAAGACTTCAGTCCAATCTCACATCTCAAACTGAAGCCATATTATACCTAATAGGAAAAACAACCTATCCCTCAATTTGAAGAATAAAATGAAAGTTCGTCAACATACCTTGGAATTTATTCCTTTGATAGCAATAAAGCCAGGTAACGGCGTCTGATGAAAAGATCCTTCCATGTACTCCTATCTAAAGGGTATAAGTAGAGTGTAGTTAAACGATATCACACCCATCTAAAATTAAACATTTGAAAAATCTGGAATGGCGTCATGGGAGAATTTTCGCTCTAAATCTCAAAATGTTTCACACAGAGAAAGTTATTTCGAGAATACTTAAAATGCTATGCACTTGTGATTACTCTTCTCATGATCAAAACAACATGTGAATCAAGTACCATGGAATCAATCAACAGACCACAAGCTAAAATAATTAAACATTCAGTCCCTGTGGTAAGACCATCTAATAACATATTGATAGGCAGCCATAACATACCTTGGCTACAGTTGCAACGAGATTAAGCATGCTCATTTTGTTGCATCCCCAAAGAGTCAGAAGCTGCACGTTTATATGCATTAAAGACAACACGTCAAACAGCTAAATGATAGTAAGTTCAAATGAAAGAGAAATAATCTCCTAGGCCAATAAAAGTCACTTGTGCCAATTGATCATCCAATAAAAGTCCTTGAGTCTTCCTAACTAAATGGATATAAAACTACCAAAAATTCCCATATCACAAATCAACTAGAACATGTAAACAAGCAAGAATGCAAAGCTTATGTTAATAGGAAACAAGAAACAGGCAAAAAACATATAACTAACATTGTGCCTCGTGTATAGGAGAGGAACAAGAAACATAACATGATATTAGAATAATATCAAGACTTGAACCAAGGACAGAGAGAAAATAATCGGCCATGTTAGGATACCGAGTAACCCAAATTTATCCTAGGATATTCACAAAGTAGACACTGAAAGTGTTGAGTGAAGCTTCTCTATAAACAGACATCAAGATATATTCCCTACCTAAAACCTTTTAATGAGGTGAAATTTTAGATTTTGAAAACACTGACAAGATTGCTGGATCCCCTCCCACCCCCAAAAAAATGATAATGCAAAGCAAAATGCAAGTCTCTTTGAAGTGTCCAAGTCATCAGATTTTGTGCCTACAATTTTGAACCTCAACAATGAAAGACAAACAAAATAAAAATACAGGGCTCCTGTTCAAGTTGAGCTAAAGTTTGAGGAAGAGCATCGTTCTCGACTAGGAAGAGCTAGCACCATGCAAGGTTCCGTCCCCACCCCCCTAAGGTCCATTGGACCTATGGCTACACCAAAGGTGTAACCGTATCCCCATATACATGATAAACTTGGCTAAAGAAAATAGTATTTTATATCAAGGTTGCCAACACTCACATAACTGATGCCTGGCCTCATTAGCAGCAGGCCATTTATTATCACTAATCTCCAAGGTCAATTCAAAACAGCCACCATTATGTAGTTACAGTCTTGCATGCCTCCATATATAGGGTACCTACAACAGGTGTCTTAAGAAACAATAGATGAATATCAAACCAAAAGAAAATATACCTATAATAAGTTGTAATGTTTCAAGCCATCATACCAGAAAGCTCCATTTGTAATGCCGCCCTTGTTGGAGAAAAACTTAGAGTACACAACTCTAACACAAGTGTTGGAGAGACAACACAAGTAAACAAATTACTTGTATTACATACACAAAATATTACAACACTCAAACTCTCAAGGACACACTTGAGAAGCTATGACACTCACTCACTTTCTAGAGACAAACTCTAGGTCACTCACACTCCTCACAAGACTACTCTTACTTCTCACTCTCACTTGGTTGCCTACTTCTTCTTGGTTGGTTGGTTACTTGATTGATACAAATGGTGTGGATGCCTTCTCCTTTTATAGGCATGGATGGAACCTTGGAGAAGCATGTAATCATCATGTTAGAGATATCTAGATAATTCTACTAATTACTAATCTTGCATGTTGGTGGAAACCTCACCATTCTTCTAGACTCTTCCACCAACTTGAACTTTGCTAGAATTCTCTAGCATGTGTATGGATCTTTCTTTGTCCATGGGCTGGATCCATCTTGGGCCAAGGCAAGATTACACTTCAACACAAACACCAATTGGGCTGGTGTTGATCTTCAACACTCCCCCTCAACACCAGTTCATTCTTCCTCCATGCTGAGTTGACGACGAAATTTTTCAAACTTGCCGGTACTCAAACCTTTAGTGAACAAGTCTGCAATTTGATCATCTGTATTGATTTGTCTCATCTCAATCTCTTATTGCAAGACCCTCTCTCTAATGAAATGGTAGTGTACCTCCACATGCTTAGTTCTCGCATGAAAGACTGGATTTTCCGCCAAAAGAATTGCCGACTGATTGTCACAGTACAACGGAACTACATAATCCACTGGTTGATGTAAATTATTCATTAGCTGTATCAACCATGTACTCTCTTGAGCTGCCATTGCCGTTGCTCGATACTCAGCTTCAGTGGTTGATAATGATACTGTCGGCTGTCTCTTGCTACACCAAGAAATTGTTCCGGAACCAAGCTTAAACACATACCCAGTTGTTGATCTCCTGGTGTCATGATCTCCTGCATAATCAGCATCACAGTAACCAACTAACTTGCAGTCTTCACCTTTCTTGTGCAAAAGACCATAGCCAATTGTACTCTTCACATATCTCAGTATTCGTCGAATTGCTTCCAAGTGAGGCTTCTTTGGATTTTGCATATACCGACTCATCACACCAACTACATAAGAAATGTCAGGTCGAGTCAAAGTTAAGTAGATCAGACTACCTACCAATTGGCGATACATCGTCGCATCTTCCAAATCTTTTCCTTCATGTGCACACATTTTGGCATTTGGCTCCATCGGCGTCGAAATCAGCTTGCATTCGACCATTCCGAACCTCTTCAACAAATCTTTAGCATACTTCTGTTGACAGAGAAATATTCCTTCTTGTGTTCGATCAACCTCTAGACCAAGAAAGTGCTTGAGTTGACCAAGTTCCTTCATCTGGAAACGGACTGATAAATTC